AAAAATGGGGTATACCGATGAATGTCCATTTTGTATCTGTGTATTCAAAGTGGTTAGGATAGATATATAGTTGCATTCTCTTAATGAATAGAATGATTTGTTCTAATGGTGTTTGTAAATAGGATCACAAGTCTGCATCTTGTACAGCAATTAACCACTAAGAAGAATATATGCAGTGTATTATTTGTTGAAACTGTACTTCCGATTTGATTTGAAACTGTCTCATTGCTATCTGTTTATCAATAAAACTTTGGAAAAAAAACTTGGTTTAGCACTGATTAAACACATTCTCCAAGTCAACATACAAAGAGCCAGGTCAGCTATGCTCAACATTGGCCAGAGCATTGTAAATTTATGGTAATCTGCATTCTTCCTATCTAGCCAATCTGACTATGACAGAATCCCAAAATTTTAATTTAATAGGGATGTAAAACAAATATCATTCCTTCAATACTTCAAAGATTTTCTATTAGTACTAATCAATTAATTCCATGAAGAATATGATATTTAGTTTCTTACTCCCTGTCTTCCAGGAAAAGATTTTTGTAGGTTCCTAACTTAGTCCTGCTTACAAGAATGTCCCTTAATCCAAGGTCAGGAACAATATGAGTATTTCTTCATCAGTTCTGTCCATTGAAATTATTCATTTGTGATTAGTTAAAAAAATACAAATGCATTAGATCCACCTTGAAATGGACATGAATCAAAACTCTAGAAAGCATTGCCATTCTCAAGCTTTTGCTCCAAGCAGTATCATATAGGTCTCTTTGTATCCCTACTGACCACTGTTAGTTCAGACTCTAAACTTGAACACACCAGAGAATGCAAACAGGTGCTCACTCTCCTCAGGACTTATATCAGGCAAATGTTTACAACTCTTTGGAAGACACTACATGAATTCATCTTGAAAAATCCTGTTGTGTATTTTTAGGGATCTGTGTTAAGGGACTTAGACTTTGTTCAATCACAGGACTCTAGTTCACTGAATTGACTCCATGCTAGGCTAAAACTTAAGTCTGGGCTCAAGAATGACTATCAGCTCTCAGTTGCTCTTGGTGTTCAGACACAGACTCTAATTGTTGGAAACCTGTGGGAGGCACAATAACTCCAGGGCCTCCAATACTATTGCAAGTGAGTCTTTCTAAATCCTGTGAATCTGCCACATCATGACTCCATGTCACATATCCCTTAATGGTCACCTGAGTGCCTCTCACCTAAAAAATTCTCTTGGTGCATCAGCGTCATTAGTTACACTGACTTCCTCTTCCCCTACCTCTGCTGAACTAAGTTCCTAGTTCTTTTTACCCCGCCTATTTCCCATAAGTCTCTTGCTATGTCCCGGAGGTGGGACTTCCTGTCATAGCCCAGTTGCCTAGTTACTCGCGCCTTTTACCCGCCGATGTCATTTCCCTATGCCTCCAATATATATATATATACCCAGCACCTCCCCTGAATAAACAAGACTTGATCAGAATCCTGTCTTTTCTCCATTTCTCACGTCTCCTGTCCTTTGACCACTCCTCAATTCACCGCTCCTCTCTCAAGTGACCTTCGTTGACTGCTGGTTTGGGACAGAAGCCCCTCTGGGTCCATCTCTTGATCCAGGAAGTCTATATTTATAATCTCAAAAATATATTACTGGAATCCCAACGAATTAATTCCAATCTACCACTCTCAGTGCAACTCATGATGAAAATAAAGACACTACTTATGGGAAACCAAAGGGCCCTAAGTCTAGCCATAAAGATGGCTTTCCAGAACAAAAGAGCCAACCCAGGCCTGCATCCAGGTTTTATTCAATCATGAAGGAAGAGTGACTTGAGGATGAATGCCTGAGAATTGTGAGAAGTAGGTGAGTACTGTGAACTGAGCTAGGCAGGTGACCTGTATTTACCTCTGTCATATGCAGAGAGAAGGATATGCAGAAAAACTAATTTGCATTATACCACTGAGATCTTATCCAATGTTTTGGGATCCAGTGCTTCAGTCCTGATGAGCTCTGATGTGTAATCTTTCAAGCTCCAGGAATTCATAGCCTCTATCTTGAAGCTCAATCCCAGCCAACAGTGTGGAGCACTGGCTCTTTGTCCTGTCTCAACCTGGCTCATATTAAAGAACAGCAAGTGTAGGTCATCAGGGAAATGCATATGCCATCTTCAAAGATTACCACCAGCACCTTGGCTAGACTAATATGCATCACTTAAGGCCAATTGAAAGGATCAAGAGAAGTCCTAGCCAGCTCTGTACATATCAACACAAGGAAATAGATTCAGGCTCAGGCAAAAATGGAGATGATCACGCTTCTTTCACTGAGAGCTGCTCAGGTGGCCCTCCACATCTAATGAACAGCTGTTTTATGAATCTACTCAGCAAAGCTTTGGATTTCCCTACTTTTTATGCCTTTCACATAATCATCAATAAGTTCATGTTGCCAATGCTCAGTCTTGGTCCTGTATGTCTGATGAGCAGCACTGAGGAAATTCATCTGCATTCAGGCCCACTGTGTCATCAGTGGAGCTTTATCCTTGCTCATTACTCACCACTCTCAGCCTCTCTTTTAGTTCTGTCTCTTTTCAATAGTATCCAGTATTGCTAGGGATCCTTTCTTCAATTAATAATCAGCTCTGCTGAGTTTGCTGGTGACCTCAGAGTCTCTTTATGGAGAGACTCACAGAGGTAAATCAGACTGATTGCTCAGACATATCTAAATATCTATCTACATCTATCTGTAGATATCTATATCTATATCTCTATATATATTTAAAATGAAAACACTTTTTCTTCAAGACATATTTAACAGTAATACTACACAAATTTAACAAGAAAAAGGGATCTTCAAAAATGATTTTGTTTCAGTTTCTCTTAAATCATATGATGGTGATCCAGAATTTAGTTTCTAAAAATAACTATGATTGATATTATGTGATAAGTGTAGAAACTAAGGAGAGTGACAACTCTTTAACGATTTGCATATACTATACTCAGTATGTAAAACTTGCCAACAAAAGTAAAATGAGCACAAAATGCCCTGAGTAACCTTAATATATTGGCTAGGACATGGGTAAAGCCACTGCTTTTCTCAAGGACTGAACTGTTATTCTGATTTCTTGGTGTAAAGCGCAGAAATTATCCTTGATTCTATTCTCATTCTGTCTGGAAATACCACCTTTCCCTAGCAGGTTTTGACCAGGTGGAATATAGAGTGTTTCCTCCCAGACTGGACAATGAAGTAGGTAAATCTCCACAGGGGTGAGTATAACCCTTGCCAGGGACCAATCTTTCAATTAATCTTAAAGGATTATAAAATTTCTTCACCAACTCTCCCTCCACAGAGTACCACCTGGTGGTTGTTTGCATGTCTCTATGTCTTCTTTATCCAGAGGGGCCAAAACAATAAATCCAAATGACCCTCCATGGAATTTCTGAAATGATAAACAACTTAAGCCTTTCCTCCTTTTAGGTTGACTACAGCAGGTACTTTATCACAGTGATGGACACTGATTCACACAGGGATCTTTACCTGCCTTTATACTAATAGTATGTCTATGCTTTTGTTGTTAGGAGTTTTCTTTTTCTTGAAATTTACCATTTTAGTCTTTTACATTTTCAGTATATTTGCTCACTACTGATTGAAGGAAATGAAGATCAGATCACCCGGTCAGGGTGAATATTCTTCTCTTTCACTCTCATCTCTGAAGCTTATGGTACATATTTTTCTGCTGTTTTTACAACTGTTGCTCAATTTGCTCCATTGGTCCCTTAGCTACTCTTTAGCTACTGAAGAACAATTTTTGTAGTTATTTTGCAATTGAACTCATCCAGTATTACCTAACTTATCTGCTTTATTTTCTGGTAGTGAGGGTCATGGAGCTAATATGGGTGGGTGGTGAGGGAAGGAGGATACAATCTGGAGGTCTTCAGGTGATTGGAGGAAACCACCACCCAGTGCAAGTGAGAGGCAAACAGGAGGATTCTTGCTGTACAAGTGAACTTGTTCATTTCTGTATGTGCTTCATGGGACCACAGATAAATTTATAACTCTTTTCACATGCACAGAAAAGATTGTACAGAATATCATTGGATATTTATATCAGTAGTACATAATATTCATTTTAAAGCATTTTTAAATAATTTTAACAATGGCTGTGACTGTAATGTATGGCAAGTGTTTATTAAAGAAAAAAATCTAAATTATTGAAGCCAGAAAAACAAGGATTTTGATCCAAATATATCTTTATGTAAGATATCAGTGTTATTGTGTATGAGTATGTTTGCATGCTTTTGTAAAAATTAAAATGTTAGGTAAATATTATCTTGACATTAAACATTCAATAAATAATAGCCTCCTTGACGTAAGCAGATAACTCACAATTCCTAGTTAGAGCTTTGCACAGCATATGCATAGGTCACTGCACAGATTGAATATTGAAGTATTAAAGAACCTCAGTGTTTAAGAAATTACTTGGGGCCAGGGAGATGGCTCAGTGGTATAAGCACTTCCCTGGCAAGTGCAAGGGCCTGAGTTCAATCCCACGTTCCACCAAAAAAGAAAAAAAGAAAAAAGAAATTCCTTATATTTGTTTAGATTCACTTGTATTCTATATGAATTAGAATTTTGTAATGCTATTTTCCCAGACTTTAAGAACTCAGAATAAAATGGTAAGACAAGAACAGCAAAATGGTGTAAAAAAAATATAGCTTTTTATGATGTTTCTTTTTTACCAACAACAACAGATTCCAAACTCCTGTGTGCAAGACTCAGAGTCTTTAGAAGAAACTCAGCTGGGATGGCTGGAAAATACAAGATTCTCAACCAGAGCACCCTGAACCAACTCATTAACTAATTTTGTTTTTTCTTGTTTGATAAAACATTGATAAGAGACATTTTTAAAGAAACTACATTTTTAATTTTTAAAGAATGAAATGTATCCAAAATTATAAATAAATGCATTAATACATCTTTAGCAATTATAATGTACACTGGGCCATTCTCACTGATAATGGAGAGTGTCGTGCAAAGCATATTTGTGTTGATTTTTACTGTGGAGTTTATAATGGGAAACTTAGGAAATGGATTCATAATTCTGGTGAACTATATGGACATGATCAACAGCAGAAAGATCTCTGCAGCTGATCACCTGCTCTCTGCTTTGGCAATCTCCAGGATTGGCCTGCTTTGGTTGGTATTCACAAGTTGGTGTATTCATGTATTCTATCCAGATTTCTTCATAAATTTAGTAATGGTAAGAGTAGTTTATACTACTTGGATCGTAACTTTTCATTTTAATGCCTGGCTTGCCACATGCCTCAGCATCTTTTACTGTCTCAAGATAGCCAATTTTTCCAACTCTATTTTTCATTACTTTAAGTGGAGAGTTAAAAAAGTGGTTTCAATCACATTGGTGCTGTCTTTTGCTGTCTTATTTTTAAACCTTTTGCAGTCAAATATATATATGAGTATCTTAGCTGATGAGTATAAAAGAAGCATGTCATACAATTTCAGTTCACGTTACTTGCCTGAGTTTTCAAAACTACTTTTCTTCAGCAACATCATGTTCACATTCATAGCCTTTGCTCTGTCTCTGGTGATTTTTCTCCTGATCATCTGCTCCCTGTGGAAACATCTGAAGAGGATGAAGCACAGTCTCAGAGAATCCAGAGACATCAACATCTCAGCCCACATAAAGGCCTTGCAAGCTGTGGTTGCTTTTCTAGTACTGTACATGACTTTCTTTCTGTCACTTTTAGCACAACTTTGGAAACATACATTTCCTGCTTTAATCTTTAGTTACACTGCTCAAATCGCTTTTCCCTCAGTCCATTCCTTTGTCCTAGTCCTGGGAAGTAGTAAACTGAAACTGGCCACTCTTTCGTTGTTGAGAAGTCTGAGGTGTGAATCCAAAGATGCTGAATCTTCAGGTTAATAGATCACTGGAGGGCTGATCTATCATTTTTCTGAAAGGAAAATCATTCTGGAAATTCTCATATTCATAATTTTCTACTTCTCTATTATTCTATTATATGCAAGCAGAACAATCCAAAGACATTATAATCATATATATTTTCTCAATTTATATAATGTGTAAAATATCAGATAAAAGGGTGAAGTACAGATTGTTGAAAATCAAATATATGAACTCTATTACTTGAGACATAAAACCCTATTTGAGAACTAAAAACTTCCACAGTCATAAGACTAATTTATTTCAAATTCCATTATATGTTATTATATTCAAACTAACAATTATTTTAGCACATTGTTATTAGTATATAATTTCCATTTGAAATTTATATTCAGAATATTTAATTTTAATTCACAAGAATACCAAAACATGGTTATGATAGTCTTTTGATTGAATACCGTATTGGAAAATGGATACATTTATGTATACTGTCATCACTAAGCAAGTTATCATAGGATTAGCAAATTAGAGTAATTAATGAAAGGCAAATATATAATTAAAATAAAATCTTTTGTGTGTATATATTACTAGTACTGATTGCATGGTAGAAGTTGAAGGTGAATAAAAAATTAAATGAATTTTTAAAGTAAGTGAAAAATCAGAATGAATTAGGTTTAAGACATGTGAAAAGAAAGTGAGACAATTGCTTATGTCCTATGTTTAGTTGTGTTAACCTGTCAGCAATATAGAATCCTATCCTGATGTTCCTCATCTAATAACCTATGTGTTTTATTGACTTTTTGGGCCTACAAACCAGATGTGTTCTTTGGATTTCAGATTCACCCTTGAATTTATGATCCCACATATCTTGCACAGTTGTGTACCTCTTATTGATAGGTCCTCAATGTCTTATTTTTGTACAGTACAACTTGTAATGTTGTACTGAAATTCTGTGTGATTGCACTATACAGCACAGTACTGTAGTTTTATGTCCTATTATACATTATAATAATATATCCAACAGTTATGAAAAGAGAAGCAAAGTCACTAAGCTGCAGTTTCCTTTGACCATTTCTTTCTTCTGAATATTGTAATATATATAATATACATAATTCCTCATTTAGTGACCAACTCAGGTGAACAGTCACAGCAGCAGCACTTTGTCATTATATAAGGAGTGTTTGCATACATTTATAAATTAAAAATTACTTATTCAGGTTTATTCTTACAAAAAAAAACTCTTTTAAACTGTCAAGGTTCAGTTTTGACTAGGTTTTCTTCTAGTGTTGTTTCTTAATTCATTTACAGGAAAAAGGAAACATCTTTTATTCATGTCTATTTGGATCATTATTAAGAAATAGACATTGCAAAATATAAAATGGGCATTTGCCTATGGCAGTCAGTAAGAGAAAATGTTATAAAGCATCTCTGTATAAAATTGTTTTATATGTCATATTGTTTGCTACTTTCATATGTGTAATAATTTTTTCATGTAAAACAACTGGGTCTCCACAGTGTTACACACTTATCTAGAAGAGCATGCAGATGTCAACAGATAGTTGTAGTGATAACACCCAGCAGACAGAGATGTTGCCTCAAATTCAAATAAAAAGTTAACAGGAAGATGCTGTTCACAGCCATGCCATGATCTGGTGGGAAAACACAATAGAATTTACAATTTCGGTTCTTATGTTAAAATGCTTTCAATTTTTTCTATAGTATCTTAGGATAATATATGCAATGATTAATGTATATAGAAAACAGATATAGTAATTGTTTTACTTGACTTTATATTGAATTGACAATAAGATATTTTACACCATTGTGTGTGCTTTGGGTTTAAGCTCACTCTCTTGTCTTTTAAAGGTAGAAAATTATATCTGCATGTAAGTATTTATAATAAGAATAAATAAATTGACAATATTATTCGTCTTTATAGTCAATTCTGTTATGATGCTATCAACATAATGCAATATTTGAATATTCAAAACTTTAGTTAATGTGGTGATCCTGGCATCTCTGTAAGGAGAATTTGCTAATATTTCATGAGTAAGCATAGTTCTGGTTTATCGTGAAATAAATTATTTCACAATTAAATCATGGATAATCCTTCTAATCTTAGCTCTTCTAATAAAATTTTCCTTTGAAATTACCATTATAGGGGCCGGGGAGATAGCTCAGTAGAATAAGCACTTGCCTGGCAAGTGCAAGGGTCTGAGTTCAATCCCTGGTTCCACCAAAAAAAACAAAGAAAGAAGAAAGAAGAAAGAAGAAAGAAAGAAAGAAAGAAAGAAAGAAAGAAAGAAAGAAAGAAAGAAAGAAAGAAGAAAGAAAGAAGGAAGAAAGTACCATTATATATTTCTCTCTTCTCTGTTAAAGTAATGACATATTACTAGTGTTAAATAAAACATAAACTTGTTTGCAAGTTATGTGTTATATAATCAATGAAATTTCCTAAGGTTTCTGTATTTTATATTATTATAAGAAATTTGAAGATCTCAAAGGCAAAGTGAAATTCAGAAATTATCCACTAAGTAATTGCAAGTGATATGCAAAATAGAAAAAGTACAATCTGGTTCCTTGAAAATTATTTTTTAAACCTCCTATGGTAGAAGGTGATTGATTCATATTTTGAAAGTTCTGAGGAATGAAGGCATAACTGTGTAATCAGGGACCAAAATTTACCTTCTGACATTTGATTAGTGAATATCATTTAATAGATGAAAAGGTGGAAGCTACGTCCCATATACATCACCTCATGGAACATGCTACTACTAGACCTACTTCAAAAAGAATGTTATAGATTGAATCATTGGCTCAAAGTGGGTCAAATATTGAAGCCCTAAACCAAAATTTCACTGTATTTGGAGACACTTAGGGAGGTCATTAAAGTTAAAATAAATCCTGAGTCAAGGCACTATTAAGCCTTGTGCCCTAAGGAGATAAGATCCCAGAAGTCCATAGGTGCAAAGGAAGTCATGCAAACTCACAGAGGACAAGGTCTGTGAGAAGAATGCCTCCTACACACAAGCATGAGGAGCCTCTCAAGAATCTTATCATTCCACTCCAAAAGTCTTGAACTTACACTTCCAAAACTGTGAATAAATAAATTTCTGTGCTTAAATCCTCAGGCTATGGTATTTGGTTTGGAAGGTAATGTAAAAACAAAATTTAAGCAAGAATGAGTACTATTTAGGAGATGAAATGTTCAATATGATAAAAATGTAAGCATTGCCTTCACATAAGTTGTTATACAGTGGGTTTGTTGTTCTTATGGTTGTTGTTGTTGAAAGCAACCTGTCAAGATTCTACATGAAACACACTGTACAAAGGTGCTGTAATATTTTGTGAATATATTCTTCTTAAAATAAAGTTTTTCAAATAAAATTGCCTACATAGAACATATTAAAAATGGTGAATAATGCAAATAATGTATAGATATTTCAAAACATGTTAAGGCCTTTGATTAGATTGAAAGGAAATAGTAATGCAACCCAAGCATACTAGAAATTGAAATTTATACTGTATTTGAGTAAATATATGTTGCTTGAAATATCAAGAAATGTATGTTACAAGTAGGTTTTTTAAAATAAATAGCGCACTTCTCCAGAAATGACCATCAGTCTGCACTCACATGTTCCTCTGGAATGTTCATCCAAAATTCCAGATATAGACAGGGTCACACTGAAAGCCATCTTAGAATTTTCCCACTCCTTGTCTTTGTAGAACAAGTAGGAGAAGGACATGGGATGAAGAGGTGTAGGAAGAACTGTTGAGTAATTTTCCCTAAACCCAGAAAATTTCTTCATTTTCTAAAACTCCAGGATGTAACAGCCACTGTGCTAGAGGGAAGAAAGGGACACTCACTCTAATAGCCACGTCTATGGAGAAAGATGACCATGATACAGTAAAACTCAAATCATGAGGCAGCTGCAAAAAAAAAAAAAAAAAGAAAAAAAGAAATCTTTACCTTACAAAGAAATGAACTCAGGTGGAAATTCTGTCTCTTTTGGGTAGCTGAATAGCACATGACTGCGGCAGGTAACAAGTTCAGCCTCATAGGATTTTGTGTCAGAGGCCAGTCCTGTGACAAGTGTTACTTAAAATTAACCTCTTGTTATCTATGAAAGTTCATTAAGTCTCCTCAGTATTTACTTTGGAACCATCTACAGCACTTCTCAGTTCTTCTATCAGCCATACAGATGATTCTTAGTCATTGCTTGACCAAGTTGCTCTATGAAAGATTGGGAGACTTTTTCTCCTGGTGATTCTCTTTAGGCATACTATTTAATAATGATTTTCTTCCTCTGTGGTCCATCTGTCTCCTTAGTCAATCAGTCAGGGAAAAGGCTTCCTCATAGCCTGCATGATTGCTGACCTCAGAGGGCAGGAGCCAATGTATTGGCTGTTCTCTTGTCCCATCTATCATTTTAGTTTCTGCCTCTAACCTTTAGCTATTGAATATCCAGCAGAGAAAAGCAGTGCCATTCCATTGTAGTGGTAACAATGAACTTAATTATTATTATATCATATGAATATCAATGAATTTGAAATATAAAGTATAGCCAGAGAACTGTTCTCTCTTGCCAAACATTGATGTTCTAGTAGTTGAATCCCTGTAGAATGGTAACAGACATCAGTTACACCTTCTTACAGAGAAAATCTGAAATCAAAAGCTACACATAGTATTTTAGTATAACAGTCATGTTGAAATTTTTGTAACACATGTAAATCTCCATTTTGATAGAGAATAGCCTTTTAGTCAATTTTTATCTAGTATGTAAGAATCTACTATCTAATTTGTTGTCCTTTAATGGAATGTCATTGAAGAAGTTTGTAAGATTGACTGGACTGTTTAATACGTAAGCACTGCTAAGTGTAGAGGAAACATCACAGCAGTGTTTGTTAAAATAATTGTTTTGCCACTGATTTCATGTTGGTTCATGATGAATTTCCTATTACAAGTACCTTGAGAAAAGAGAAAAGCATATGTCTGAATCTGAAAGAAAATATTTTAAAGC